GCCGCGCTGAGCTAGTCCGGCAGCTAGCCACTGGCTGACAGCTAACGCTAACGGGGCCTGCCCACAAGCACAGCCTCCCTCCGGGCGCCCCACCCCCAGCCCTAGCTAAGTGGGCTCAGCCCCTGGGAGAACAGAGGTGGCCTTGTGGCAGGACCCCACCTCCTGTCCCCCCAAGCCCCAGCTCCAGCACCCCCACCTCCTGCCTTGCTGGGTATATTTCAACACCCCAGAGCAGCACATTCCATCCTCTGGCACAGCCGGGGGCCGGGGATTCCGGATTCCCTTGGCCGCCTGCTTTCTTCACGGCCCAGCAGAGCCTGCTGTCTGGCCGGGACTCTGGGTCCCAGCCACACACATTCCAGCCGCAACCACCCCCCACGTTAGATTTCCCAAGGAGTGAACTTTCACCAGGATTACAGCCTACTAAACAGTTGTGGGATGTGAGCTTCCTTTGTGGGGACCCAAGGGGAGGAGGGGTCGGGAGTGAGCTGTCTCTGAGAATCAGGAGCAGAGCCCCAGGCTCCCTTGCCTCTGTCTGGGGCCTGGGAGTGGGTCGGAGCAAGGCTTTCAGACACCTTCCTGGGAGCCCAGGTAGCAGGCCACCTGCACCCCAGCCCGTCCTGGTCTTCGTTCTGGGCACATAGTGTTAGAGAGCAGGCTGGCAAACCGTAGCATCACCACGTGCAGGCCGTGTGACCTCCAGTAGGTTCCTCTACTTTGAGCCTTCACCACCATCGTTAAAGTGCCACTACTCAAGGGGCTGTTAGGAGTCTTAAATTAAAATGCAGTCTTTTTTTATTTTCTTTTTTTTGGAGAGGTTTTTGCTATAGGGCACGTGCGCTCGCCAGACAGACAGAGACAGACAGAGAGACAGCGAGAAATCATACCCAAGGGGGTGTGGCCACGCCGCAATCCTTTCTCCTCCATTCTCCTCTCAGGATCTTGGGCACACATGCACACATGCCTGGCGTGAGTTTAAGCCACCGGGTCCAGGACTCGAACCGCGGTCGACTATGTGGGAGTCCAGCGACATAACCATTACGCTAACTGCTGGTCCCTCTTTTTTTTTTTTTTAAAGTCGGCATCTGGCCATGCTGTGATCCTCCTGCCTTGCCCTCCCAGCTGGTACACAGGCACATGCTAGCACACCTGGCTCAGCTTTAGACAAAGTCTCGCTGTGTTGCCCAGGCCAACCTTGAGCCCACGGCACTCCTGCCTCAGCTTCCTTGCGTGCTGGGATTGCAGGTGCACTCCACCTTGCCTGGCTGTGAAATTGGGCCGGCAATGAAACCTGGGCCTCCGTGTGACCCCAGCCTGCAGGGCACAGTGTGTGTGTCGTCGGTGTGTGCCACTTTTTTTGTTTTGTTTAATTTGCTCTAGAGCATGTGCTCATGCCAGAGAGAGAGAAAGGGAACTCACCCCCTGGGGGGATGGCCACGATCCAATCCCTTCTCCGTACTCCTTTTGGGATTTTGGGTATGCACACACATGCACCCAGTGTGTTTTTCCAAGCCACCAGGCCCAGGACTTGAACCATGCAGTCAGCCATGAGCTCCAGTCATCTTAACCATCATGCCACCAGCTGGCCTAACTGGCACAAGTGTTTTGAGTAGTGCCTGCCACCCATGGTGGCCACAGTACTTACTGATCAACAGTATTACAAAGTATCCCTCACCTGAAGTGCTTGTGAGCGGAAGTGTTTAGATTTTTTGGAGTCTGGAGTATTTACATGTACATAATCAGATATCTTGGGGAGGCGACTCAAGTGTAAATGCGAAACTCCCTTATATTTTATATGTACCTTGCGCATGTAGACTAGAGGTAATTTTACACTATATTTGTATTGTACAGGATCAGGTGTGGAGTTTTCCACTGGGGGCATCATGTTGACACTCAAAAAGCTTCGCATTTTGGAGTGTTTGGGGTCAGGAATGCTCAGTGTTGGCTTATGTGCCACCTGGGGATGGGCTTCTGAAGCCAGACCCACATGTAGGCCCTACTCCCCTCTGGAAAGAACGGCTCTGGCTTTTAGGTCAAATGCTCCTGTCCTAATTCTCGTTTTTGTTTTCATTTGCTGTAGGATGCATGCGTTTGCCAGAGAGAGACATGGCCACCCCACAATCTCTTCTCCATTCTTCTCTCAGGACTTGGGGCACACACGCACACACACCTGGTGTGTTTTTCAAGCTGCCAGGTCTGGGAATGGAACCACGCAGTCAGTGAAGGGGGATCCAGCTTCCTTAGTTACCACGCCATCTGCTGGCCTCATGCTCTGCTCTTCTCCCTGTCCCCCTGCCAGTCATGTTCCTTCATTGTTGAGTGAATCAGTTGGGAGTTTTAAAGTACCTACGGTGTGCAGGCACTGCTAGGTTGTGGAGTTTGATTAATAAAAATACTGATTACTGAGACCAGCAGATGGTGTAAGGTTATGTTGCTGGACTTCCACGTAGTTGACCTGCAGTTCACATCCTGGCGGCTTAAACTCACGCCAGGTGCATGTGTGTGCATGCTCAAAATCCTGAGAGGAGAAAGTAGGAGAAGGGATTCGGGAGCGATTTATTGTTTTCTGTCTCTCTGTCTGATGTCTCTCTCTCTGACGAGCGCAGTGCCCTAGAGCAAAAATACCTCTTTAAAAAAAAAAAAAGTACTGGGGCTGGCAGTGGCATGGTGATTAAGGGTGCTGGACTCTCACGTGGCCGACTGCAGTTCGAGTCTTGGACCTCGTGGTTTGCTTTCTCACTCCCCCCTGCCAGCCTCCCCCCACCCCCCGGTCAAATTTAAATAAGTAAATAAAATAATTCTAAAAAGGATATAGACTAATGACCATTTAATGAGCATCTTCGAAAGGCTGTGTATGTTTCTAGGACTTTTCTTATATTTTCTCAGCACCTAGCAGCCTTGTGACGTGATGTTACTACCCCGTCCAACAGCTGGGCACACGCACTGGTGCCAGCCTCCCCCCACCCCCCGGTCAAATTTAAATAAGTAAATAAAATAATTCTAAAAAGGATATAGACTAATGACCATTTAATGAGCATCTTCGAAAGGCTGTGTATGTTTCTAGGACTTTTCTTATATTTTCTCAGCACCTAGCAGCCTTGTGACGTGATGTTACTACCCCGTCCAACAGCTGGGCACACGCACTGGTGTGTTTTTTGAACTGCTGGATCTGGGGCTGGAATCACGCAGTCGTGTGGGACCCAGCTGCCTTAATCACCATGTCATCTGCTGGCCCGAAGCGCTTGTCTTTTCCCAGTGTCACAGGGTCACTCCGTTGCAGGGTTGCAACGCAGAGCCATGATGCAACCCAGCTGAGTGTTCAGTTGCCTTCCCCAGCTTCTTCCTGTTCTTTGTTAGAACCTTGACTTTGTACACTAAAATCCTGGACCTCCTTGCTGTCTTGCAGCGAGGGATGGCCACACAGTAGTCCTGGCCAGCGAGCTAGGCATGCACATCTGCAGGTGGGACTTGTTGGGACATTACTGTTTTTCTGGTCATAAGGGCCAGAGGCAGCTGACCCACTGCTTTTGCTCTGAGCCCTCCCCTGCCTTGCTGCCCGGAATGTGGTTGAGAAAACTGGAGTAGGAGGGGCTACCAGACAAAAGCCACTCTCTGGCAGAACAAGCAGATGCCTGGGACAGAGACCTCCCACCTGTCCACCTGAAGACCTCTTGTGCAGAGAGCCATCCCCCCCTCCCCGTGCCATGAGAGGTGATCATTCAGCTCCTGGATAGTGCAGCTGCCAGTCTCCAGGCTAGCAGGGAGGAAGCCTTCCGTGACAGAAGGGAGTGAAGGGTGGGACTCAGGCTTTGCGAGGCCTCCCTGGTCTTTTTGGTGCATCCTCCTTGGCTCCAGATAAGAGGTTCCTGGGGTGGAGATCTGACAGCAGGTGTGGGCAGAGCAGATGTGCAGAGCAGGGTGCTGCCCCCTGGAGGGTGGCTGAGCAGTGCCCGACTTGGCTTCACAGGCTGGGTTAAGGGCACCCTCTCCCACCCTCTGCCTCTGCCGCCAGCCCCTGACAGGTCAGCTTTGTGTTTCAGCCAGAGGCGGCCACAGCCTGTGTGCTCAGTGGAAAAATAACCCCTGGCCTGGGTGTCCGTACGAGTGCCTGTAAATATTTGGTCGGGGTAGGAGGCAGGGAGACAAGGGACAGATTCAGGGAGCCAGGTGAGCTGGACGGGTTCACCCGAGGGCGGGGGCAGTGGCTCCCCCAGAGGCGAGGAGAACAAGCAGGCCTCTGCTGCTCCTTACTTGCGGGGAGGCCACCTGGCTGCCCAGGCTGGGATTTGCAGCAGGCTGGCAGACCACCTGTTAACAGGCCTCGGGAGGGCAGTGCACACGGCCCCACCACAGAGTTGGGCCTCCAGCCTTCCTGGAGATGCCAACTCCCTCCATTCTGTGAGGTGACGGGCTCTTCTGAGTTGCACAAGCCAAGGGCTTCCTCTCTGCAAGAGAACGCAGCTGCTTTGTCTGAGGAGCAGAGGGCTTTGGCGTCCCAGATCCTCGCACCCCCACAGGCAAATTTGGAAAAGCTCGCTAGATGATGCTAATATTTGTATATTAACTGCAGATTCTGATTCAGCAGGCTCACGGTGGGGCCTGAGTCTGCATTTTGTGTGTGTACAGGTGTGGCGTATTTTTAGACTGGTCTGTCTGTCTCAATCCTCTTGTGTCAGCCTCCTGAGTCTCTGTGACTATAGGCTGAGTATGGGCTGAGACTCGAACCCCAGCCTCCAACGTGGTCTCAGTCTGCCAGCCAGCAGCCTCTCTCTTTTTAGTTTTTGCTGTAGGGTGTGTGTACTTGCCAGAGAAACAGAGAAAGTGAGTCAGCACCCTGAGTGGGGGATAGCCATGCCGCAATCCCTTCTCCATTCTCCTCAGGTTTGGGCATGCATGCACATGTACCCGGCATGTTTTTCAAGCTGCCGAGTGTGGGACTTGAACTACATAGCCGGCCATGGGGGATCCAGCCTCCTTGACCACACTACCCGCTAGCCACCCCCAGCAGCATCTTACTGGGGCGTGCTACCGCAGCTGGGCCTGAGACCCTGCCTTTGTAGCCAGCTCCCAGCACTGCTGATGGTGCGGGGACCACGCTTAGCCTCCAGCAACTCGGGTCAGGAGGGAGCTGGGGTCGGAAAGGCCCAGTGGGGAGGACACAGTAGGTCTTCAGCTGTAATCCCCTGCGGTCCTCGGGAAGACTGTCTTGACTGTGGGAGCGGGCTGGGGACTTGGCACCTCTGTCCCTGCTGAGGGACAAAAGGACAGTCATCTCGGTCTCACTTAGTGGTTGGGATGAGAGGGTGACCCCTGCCATGTGCCCTTGGGGAGTCTGCAAAAACACAAGCAGAGGCATGGCTTTCCTTAAACATTCCGAGTATGTGTGGGCAGGCTGTGGGGGGAGAGGGCCTCCTCCTAACTGTTGGGAGCCTTCCTCTCCCCCCACTTTGGTGGAACAGAGGACAGACAAATCACCTGGTCGGAACCAACTATTGTTTTGATTTAATTAAAAACTTACAAAAGAAATGAAGAACCAAACGCTGCCTGTGGTCTAGTACCTACGGCCTCACAGCAGTAGCAATAATTTACTCCTCCTCGGGGGGCGGGCGGTGTGGAGGCTGGGGGTGAACCCCGAGATCGGAGCACTAGGCGGGAGTAGGGACATGAGCAGAGATGGCGAAGGCAGCGGGGTGTGGCTGGAGGCATGGAGACCCTCACTCCTTTATTTCCGGGGGCCGTGCCGGGACACGAGGCAGCGGGAGTGAGCTGCCTGGCACGAAGCTCAGCCTTGATGCCGACACTTCCCTCCCAGGAGCGAAGTCCCAGGCTGACACCTGCCTGCCCTGGAAACCACCTTCTTGGCTGGCTCTGAGCCCCCCTCCCCTCCTTCTCCCTACTTCCCGAGACCCCAGAGTCCCCTGGAAATGAAAAAGCCCTGCGTCTGAGCGAGAAAGCCCAGGACCCCTCGGTCATGGACAACTGTGGGCTCCATGACCATCCCTGGGGGCCTGCGCCAGTAACAGTGGCCTGACGCCACCCTCAGCAGATTGCTCAGCCTGGGCGGGGCAGGGTGGGGACAGAGAGCAAGGCGCAGCCGGAGGGGCTGGGAGGAGCGCCCCTCAGTGGGGCTCTGCGGCCCCGTAGAAGAAGGGGTAGTAGAGGGAGCAGGGGTAGGAGAACATGAACTTGACGGCGAACTTCATCTCCTTGTTCTTCTTGTCCCAGCGGTAGACCGCCATGAGCAGCAGCTGCCCGTCCACCCTGCGGCCCATGACCAGGAAGCTGCCCGCCAGGCTGTCGAGCTGCGGGCAGGGGCAGCCCGCCCCGTTCTTCATGTGCAGCACCAGCCTCTTGGTGTCCTTGCGCTTCAGGGGCCCCGGCTTGAGCAGCTTCTTCTTCTTCTGGGCTCCGATCAGCTTGCGGTCCCCATTCTCGATCTTGATCTCCTTGATGCGCATCTTGACCACTGTGGGAGGGAGGAGGGCAGTGTGAGATGGGTCAGGTCTGCTGGGGCGCTGCCTTCGGAGCCTGCGGAGCCCGATGCTCCCGTGCGCATTGTACTGTGTGACGCTCCTACCACACTGGACTTCATGGACCTTACTGTTTCATGCTTGTGGTGCAGGAGGGGGAGTGGGGTGTGGAGAGGGTGCGCCCTGCCCGGACTGTGGAGCCTGAACTGAAACCAGGCTAGAGCCCGAGCTCTTCCAAGACAGCAAGCGCAGGGTGGAGGGCTCTGGACGCGTGATGGGGAGGGGAGCTGGGCACTGGGCTCCCCGGGGAGGAGGTGCTGGGGTGGGCTGGCTACGTAGAGGGGAGAGCTTACGATGGAGGGGGACTGAACTGCATGATCTCCGGGGATGATCCTGATGGAGTTTCTGGCTGTGTGTGAGCAGCAAGCCGTGTGAGTGAGTGTGAGTAGTGTGTGTGCGTGCACACGCATGCAGTTGAAGCAATGGCAGGCTGGTAAATGTTAATAGCAGCTGTGGGTCGGGAGGGTCCTGCTCTGTGATGTTTGCTGATACCCCCACTGTGTGTGTGTGTGTGTGTGTGTGTGTGTGTGTGCCGTGTGGGCAGGTGTGCATGCATCTATGTATGCTTATGTACTTGTAGGAGGTGAGTGTGTGGGTGGTGGGGGGAGAGGGATGAAGGGGCACAGGTGGCCAGTGGTCACTGGGGGGCTAGAGAGCTCAATGTAGTTGGGGATAGGGAGCCCCGAGCATGGGGCCTCGTAGAAGGGAGTCCCTTGGGCTAGTCTTTTTGGTTTTCAGCCCTCGGGTCTCGATCTCTGGAAGCTGCCAGGAGAAGCCAGAGACTCGCCTTACCCACTCCACTCGGGGAAGGGACCTGTCATAGGATCCCGGTTTCTCTCTTCCTCCCTCCTCGGTGACACGCACTGTGTAAGAGCAGTATTATCTTTCTATGCAGGCTGCCGACATGAAAGACTCCTCTGAAGTGGAGACTTTATTACCTCTCCTTTTTTACAGACAGGGAGGCTAACGCACACAGGGACTGACGGGGCAGAGAGCACATGCAGGCTGTGGCCCTGACTCCATGTGGCTGGGCTGCCCGGGGGTGAGGCTCAGGGGCGAGGCTGTGGGCATGTGATGGCAGCTCTGCAGGCCAGAGACGCGGGGCCTCAGCCCATCAGGCTCCCTCAAACTGGAGCCCATCTCCCCTCCGTGCCCGCCTCTGACTCAGTGCATCTCTGAAGAGGTGGCCCAGCTGTGGAGGCCCCTCTGTGGGCAGTGCCAAGGGAGGGCCGCAGGCCTGCGGCCTGCAACGTGGGCTTCTGAGGCCCATGGCCCACGGCCTGGGGGGGCCTGGGAGGCTCCTTGGGTGATGTGCACCAAGAAGTGCTTTTCTCTTGGGAGAAGGCCCCTGGCTGTGGTGTTCTCAGGGAGCCCACGATGCAGAGCAGTTGGGACTTGCCGTGGAGGGTGTGGAGGAGGGGCTGGCGACAGTGCTGGGCGGTGGCCGCGTGGCCCACACTCACCGAAGTCGCTGGAGCACATCTGCTCCATGAGGCCGTCGGCGCTGTGCTCCGTCTCACACTGGGCGCAGGCCTTGGTCACTGGGAGAGAGGGCGGGGGGAGGGCTGGTTGACGGAGCCAGGGCCCACAGCTACTTGGGGCACGGGCTCCCCTGACTGAGAGCCACCGCCCCTACCAGGCTGCCACTCCCTCACCAGGAAGTGGGGTGATGGCAACAGCACGACCCCCTGCATTGAGCGACCCAGAGATGAGGCTGGGAAGGACCAGAAGTGCCCAGGGGCACGTCACCTCCGACCCTGGCAGCTGGACAGATAGTGCAGTCTCTGAAATACCACCCCCTCTCGCCCTCCTATCTGAGAGAGATGGAGGCAGACCCGGAGAGGTCACCCAAGTGGGCACAGTGGGGAGAGCCTGGCGGGGACTCGGGACCAGCGGCTCACAGTCCAGTGCTAGTACGGGGTCTGGGTGGGTGGGTAGGTGGGTGAGGCTGGTGCCAGGACCGTGATACTCCGAGGAGCCCCCACTGTAAAGTGGGCAGCATTGCATGACCAGAACTTCCAAATTTTCAAGAACAGCCAAAATTCTAAATTTTTGTATAAATTACTGTTTCACCTCTCTGCTACACAAAACTGCTGCTGCTGCCTCCGCCTCGGGCCGCTGCCCAGCAGCTGGCCTCAGCTCAGCTTCTCCTGTGTTTCTGCTTTGGGGCGCACCCATCAGTGGGGAGAGGGGCTCTGAAAGGGGAGGTGAGCAGGGCCAGGGAAGGCGGGGTTCGCAGCCTCAGACTCCTGGTCATGCTCGGGATCCCAGACATCCCCACCAGGGCCTGCTGGGGCTGGCTGGCCACACTGCTTCTCTGGGAGGCCGAGTGTCCCTCCCGTGCACTCCAGTCACAGGCCTGCAGTGACTCTCGGGACAGGGCCTGGGCACAGTGGCTTCAGTCTGGGGAGTGGGGTGGACAGGAACAGGAGGAGCAGTGCTGCCGCTTGGGGAGTCTCAGCATCCGGGGTTCCTTGGGTTCCCGTGGTGACCGCTCAGGCCAGGCTCTCCTGCTCGGTGCCGTGCATCCTCCGGGCTGAGAGTCTGGGTGCCCAGGCAGGCCTGGAAAGAGCTGGAGATGGGGGAGGGAAGGCAAAGGGGCGCAGAGCCAGCCTGGGGAGAGCGGGAAAAGCGATGCTAACCCCAGAGGGAACTGAGGAGTAAGTGGAACTGGGGCGCAGGAGAGGGGTGGTCTCATAGGCTTTGTGAACCTGGGACTCTTCCTGTTCTAGGGATGGGACAACTGAGGACTTTAGCCATTCACCTCAGGGCTCCTGGTTGGGGCAGAGCCTAACTAACCTTCCGACTCTTCTCACCATGAACCAGGACTCAGCCTGCTAGAGGCTTAGAGGGTGAAGTTCCAGACCCAGAAAATAGGGGGTGGGACAGCTACCCCAGGAGACTCCTGGTCCCCAGTCCCTGCCTAAATATCTTCCCTAGCTCACCCTCCTTCCTTCCCAAGTTTCCAACCCTGGGTGCTGCTTGTTTTGGTGCCCTTGGGTCTAGGCGAAAGGCACCGTTTAGCGACATCAAGCATTCTTGGGCTGCGTGCAGAATTAAGACGTTTATTGGGACGCCCCAGGACTGGCGGCAGCATCGGGGGGACCCTAGGAGCTCAGCGGCTTGGGAAGACAGGCGCTGCGAGGGGCGCCGCGGTGGTGCCAGGGCCAGGGTCGGAACCGGGGTGTGGGAGCCCACTGGGAGTACGCCGAGCTGCAGGGAGGTAGGTGGGAGGACGAAGGGAGACAACTCCCAGAGCGCAGGACTGAGCGTGTGTGTAGAGGGGCTGGCAGAGCTGTGCAAAGGGTTTGAGGCGCGGCATCCGTCCGGGGCCCAGCTGGGGCACACGGGGCCGTCGGAGCGCGCGGGGGCGACGGCGGCGCTACCTGGAGGCGCGGTGGCGGGCAGGTGCCCGAACTGCACAGCGATGCAGAGGTCGTTGTCCAGGGGGAACTTGTGGCAGTGCAGCATCTCGGGCCAGGGGAAGCCGTAGGCCTCCATGAGCGGCGCGCAGCCGGCGCGCACGGCCTCGCACAGCGAGCGGCACGGG